GAAATGAAAAATCACTGAATCAAAGTGTACGTTGGAAAATACAGCCTCTCGTATGCGTAGGGAGAGAGAAAACGAGGGTTCTCTGTAGCGGAGGGATCGAGGGAGGAGCTTACCAAAATTCTGTCTTGAGCCCTGAATCGTGAAAAGCCACGAGAAAAAAAAGCTAACTAGTTATTTACACGCGCGATTGAGCCATTGATTCGTTTAGATATTGCTTTTTTGTGCTCCTGTGCATTGCGTTTTTAAGATACATTTCCAAATCGTATATGATACGAGCTGAGAAAGAATCGGTCACGAGTATACCCAAATTTATGTCCGATTTGGCCATAAAAATCACAAACTTGAAGAAGCGAGTGAAAGAGCGGGGCAATGAACATTTTTTTTTCATTTTTCTTCTCCAATTTTGGACCATACGAAATAGTGTTTCATTTAAAATCACACGTTATAAGATGAAACAATGACTGGAACGAGCACCGATGCACAATAATTATTGTTGCGATTAGTTATAGATACGCAATGTAGGTCGATCATTCGATGAATCCGAAGAGATAAATTAAAATAATCGAAAAATTAAACCATCAGCCATATGTACAGGTATATTATATCTATATGTATTGTATCCGGTGAATCTTGGATTGTGTCACCTATATTTTTCCTCCCTCACCACGCGCGATGATAAATAAATAAGAGTATTCCACTTATTAAGCGGAAATAACGATCGACGTGTGCGCGAAAAGTATACCATTCGTTACGCGCGCATAATATGTTTGTATACACGTGTGCAAAGTAGGGTATAAATAAAATCCCTGGAGGCGCGCCGAAGGTGATGGAAACGAAGAAACCCAAAATAAGGATAACGAGACCAAGTCAAATAAAAACTGCGCTTACGATCGGTTCGCTAAGGGTTACACCCGTGGACTTTTACATATTATACATATGTATAAGACAATACACGTAAGAAGCCCCCATGACTCTTCTCATACATACACAATATTATATACATATACATAAAACAGAGCTTCGCGCTCTCGATGTTTATTAATAACAGCGCGTATTCCGGTGACACGGGCCCGACTCCCGAGTTTCGCAAGGCAGTTCTGCACCGCATAGGTATATACATACATACAATGCATGTGCATACAGTAGCAGCCGAGGAATTCCGGGTGCTGGAAACCCTCGCGTTTCTCGTTTGTAAATCACGAGTCGTGGCTTTCGCAATTAATTAATCGGGCCCCCCCCCCTCCCAGGGGGGTGGACGCGTGTATTTTTGGGATCTACGGATTTTCCCTTCTTGGCGGAGTTTTCAATGAATACTCCCCATTCACGAGCATATTTACACGTATATTCGTTGCGAAATCGCGTATCGGTCGCATACACGGTTGCACTTTGGTAAAAATAGCCTCCCCACCCCCGTACCAGTCTATAAGCTTTTATTCCCGTGAATTTTCGTTCGCAACCGGAAAATTGTGGTTTCCATACTAAGTACATGTGGTATATATAAATGGAAATGCCGAGGTCGACTTTTCTCGTATACACGCCGAGACAGGGGGCGGGGGGGGGGGGATCGTGTAAAAAGTTTCGGGCATTTTTCCACGCGCACGCATCCGACGCGACGCTCGGAGAGGGGGGTTTTTATTGCCTCCCCCGTACGCCCCGCAAATACGGAACACGCGACGCGAAATATCATCGCTTTTTTTCCTTTCATCCTCGTTTCACGTATCAATGGAGGATGGGGCTAATTTTTGCGGATAAATCAACGTATTGTTCAACTCGGAGCAAGTCAATTCACCCACGTCTTTTTTTTTTTTTTTTTTTTTTTTTTTAATAAGTTTGGTCCATTTAAAAGTGCGCAATATAGCATGAAATACATTCACTATTCCCACCTCTTTATTTCACACGTAGCCGATGTAAGTAGCGAAAATCACGAACTCGTGTCTGTACTGCGTCTACAGTTTCAGTAGAAAAGTACCGAGTACGATCGGACCAAGACGAAGGGACTCTGGAAAAAGTCCGCATCTACTGGTACTCTGTTTCGAAGTAGGTGTACGTGGATTATGGGTGAAACTTTTTCGATGGACTACCATTTTGTCCGAGATGTACGGGAAATCAAGGGGTTGAATTAAAATGATACATTACATTCGAAGCTACCGTATCGCCGTAGGGTTATCGTCGTTTCTGTTGCATATCCCATATTTCTGGTCCGATAAAAGGATCGCTTGAAAAATGTTACATCATCGGATCTCCGTATCTTCCAGCCCGGCTTCCTTTTCACGTAATCTGTTGCGGCTCGAGCCAACTCTCTCTCTCTCTATCTCCAATACCGAACCGCCAAACTCCACGAGACATAACTCGTATATTTTTTCATATTCGTGGCCTCGTGATTAATTTTCGTCCCATAAAATATACATCCTCATATACCTACACCCGATACTGGTTCCCCGTGAGTTATCGCGTAAAATGTATGCAGTATTAATAAACGCCGCTGTATATTATACACTCGGAGCGAGAGAAAAAAGAGTTGGGGGAGAGTAAAATTGCACGGGACATAATGCGCACACATATGCGCGATTTCGTCATTCACCTGCTGCTGTGTCAAGTGCGCCCGCCAAAGAAACAAGCGAAGGAGAGAGAGAGAGAGTGCAATTATCTTAAACGCCGGCTCTCCGAATCGGTCGGGCTCTCTCTTTGGACACCCGGTTCAATTAGCCCTTTTAGAGATAACTTGCACGTAGAAATAACAAAACAAAAGTGCATTTTTCTGCAGCTAAAGAGAGAGTAATTTACATGGGACTGCCTTTACACGTATTGTGTGAGCAGCAATGGGTTTAGTTAAAGTGCAGGCTTTAGAAAGAGACAAAAAAAAAGGACAAAGTACCCGTGCGGAGCTTGATTAAATTTTCTAAAAGAGGGGTAATCATTACTTTTTTTAAAATTTTTTTAATCACTTAACAGGGGAATGTATCGGTAGAGAGAGAGAGAGAGTGGCGATTACGTTTTACGGGCGGCAAGTGTGAGCAGCTGCTTAATTAATTTTCCCATATAGCAGTGGAAAACTAAATTAAATTTTACCTTTTTTTTTTTTTTTTTTTTTTTTTTTTCATTGCAAAAGTGCGATAATAACGGCGTGAAAATCCCTATATGTATAAAAACGAAACTAGAGCTCGGCGACCCCAGCGATTTCGAGAGACTCCCGCTTAACCAAAATTATAATTCACCTCGTACACTATACGCGTGGCTATTTTTCACGCGACTTGTTCCGTAGTGGTCGGAGCTGGTCGTATATACATTGCGCTAGTTGAAAGTTTATGATTTATCACATCGGTGAACATACGTAATTATATACACGAAAAGCAGCCGTATGTTTGGAAAAACAATATACAAGATCTCAAAAGATAATTGTAGTTTCAGTGCGAGGCTGAAGCGATTGTAAATCAAATTCTCGATGAGTGTGTGTATAGGTATTAGGGGCAAGAGCGCAAATGAGAGACTCGTCTCCGAGAGCCAGTCCGTCACTTTGTCGGTGCGCAAGGCTACATCTAAAAAGTAGGCGCTACTCTCGGTCATTTGTCCCTTGCGAAGGTGCGGAGGGATCGATAAGGAAACTCTTTTTTTTTTTTTTTTTTTTTTTACCGCGGAAAATTGAATGGGGCTTATCGGTGGATTAACCGGCTTTGGCGCGCGTAAGGGGAGGTCGTGAAAAATGACCCGGCCGTTTATCAAGGCTCCCCGGGAGCGATTACTGTGAAAAATTCGACGACATCGGCGGTACACGGGAACTGAATCGACCAAGCTCGACGGACGATGGTTTCGTGTACGTGTGTAAAAAAGAGCCATCGGAGTCCACGGAGCGCAAAAGACAAGCCTGGCCAGAGCGGCGCTACGCGTATACGTATAGGCGCGAGCGTCTGTCGAAGGCCGTTATCGCGCTTATATAGACTATGTAGGTCGATAATTTCCGATTGTCCCGATCGTCGCCTACTCTGGCGATCGAGGCTGGCTCAAGGTGCGCCACTGCTCCTTTTGCGCTGCGTAGGCTCGTGTAATACGTATACCTTATACATGCCGTGCGCATCCGAGTCTCTCTCTAGCTCGTTGTTTTTGTGTAAAAAAAAAAAAAAAAAAAAAAAAAAACTAATTTTTGCACGCGTCTCGCAGGGGTGGATCGTCCAATTTACGGTCAAGACAATATTCAATCGTCTTACCGCCACTCGAGCTCATATTCGTTGAAAAGCGGAGCTTCGAAACTTTGGCACTCTGCACACAAAGTTTCCACCGACGCTTGCGGGAGAGGGGTGGGGGCGCATAAACCTGTCGCTAAGAGAGTAGCCGATTCGAAGGGAGGAGGGAGCGCGCGTGTACTGTATACGCACTCTGGGTATTTTATAGGGCCAATTTTTTATTTCAAAGAACGCCCTTTTCGAAGGGATAAGCATATCGAGGGACTGTGCGCGCGCGTATATTTTTACCGCCGAGAATGTCCAGCTCTAATCCGTATAAGTATACGAGCGCGCGAGACGTGAGCCGAGTTAGCGATGCGGTTGCGGGGCTGTTTTTTTTTCAAGCTGACGGTAATATGGCCATCCGATCGTTTTTGAAAATACCCGGGACTCGACGATTGCGTGCTTTTGGTGGCATTTTAATTAATACGCGTCTATTCCGATCAACAAACCCAAAAGAGAAAAGGTAGACCCTAAGAGCCATGTAGGTACAGGCCAACGATTCTCCAAGAGTCAAGTATACATCAATTATTCCGAGTGGCGATACAAGCAAAAGTACCTCCATACATCAGGCGCTAGCGAGCGTTAAAAGCCTCGGGGAGTGCGCTAGTAAGATAGAGGAGGGCGAGCACAGTCCTTCCGAAGATTTTCTCCGATGGGGTAAGATGAAATGAAATACGCTGCCAAGACGTACACACACATCACACACACGTGACTTTTGCAACTCGTTATCAGTGCTCAAACGGTGTCACAGCACACGCGTGAACATCAGCACAGACTCACATGGTGGTTACGTTGGGGGTCCGGTTGATCAGCTCGAGATCGGCGATACCGCGTCCCCTGCAGTCCAATTGCCGGGCCGTGTGCACCCCGAGGAGGTCGCAGACGTGCGACAGCCCGGTCGGTTGGGTACTCATGGCCGCGATCGCCGCCGAGAACAACAGGACGAGGCCGAGCTGTGGCGCGGACACCATCCTCCGGAGCTGCTTCGGGCGAGTGGGGCCGCCCGCCAATGTCCATCCTCGGCACTATTGTACGCGTATATATGCCCCGAGATCTCTCTCACCGGCGGCGGCTCTTCACCTCTACCATGGCCAACGATAACTCCCTTGACTTTTCTTCTTCTTCGCGAACACAATGGCTGTGGAATTTACAGTGGGGTACTCCTTTTTGTTTTTTATAATGCACTTACGCAGCTGGAAAGAATCGGGTGTCGCGACGGTGGTTGGCTTACCGATAATGTGACAGCACGGATCACTTACGTAACAGCCCCTTGAACAGAGAAAACAAAAGTCCGTGTATTATTTGCCGTAAAAGTGCAGGAGGGAAGGATAAATAAGAGCAAAAAGAAAAAGAAATAACCAGGAGCGTTACAGTCGGTTCGCAATGCTCTCGAGGCGACCCGAGAAAAGACATCTGCACCGGAGGAGGAGCGAAAAGCCAAAATGAAAAGACGTACGGAATTGCCGTTCCAGGGAGGGCTATTTCGCCATCCCTCCCCCTCTCTAGAGATACGTAAGCCCTATCTTCCCGGCAAACGATCCGATCGCCGTGATCGTTACTCCCTCCCCGTTATTGCTATTGTTTTCCGAGCTCGGGAATATCATACCTGCAGAAAGTGCAGCTGGGTTGCGTGAGTGAAAAAAAAAAAAAAAAAAAGAGAGAATATTTATTTTTCACTACCCCGCCCGATGCTTATAAAAATCTCCCTCGCGAGGAATACGTACACGTGCTTCAACTACTGTTCCAATAACCCTTTATCGTTGCCTTTGCACTTTAGTGCGCGTCAAGGTTTGGCGCGTACGGTATGAACGAACAAGCGCACCGCACTCGATCGAAATAACAACTATGTGTTTGCCAGTTGTATATATATTATCCAAACCGATCTAAACCGGCACCAAAGACCGTAAGAATATGTAACATATTTATATAGGTACAACGTTGCAAAGAGAAACCGATGCGCGCGCTCCGTGGTGCGTTCGCCGACTGACTGTCGCTGCCACGCTATACCCGCCACCCGTGTAACCAGAGTCTCTCTCTCTCTCTCTTTCTCTGCTGCTCGGCAAACACACACACACACACACACAGGTGCTCTGTTGCTCCGGTGGTTCGCTACTTGCACGGGGTTTTTTCGTGCTCTCCTATAAAGTACTACAGTAGGTATGTAGTAATTAAGATGCCATTATTTCTATAATCCAAAGAAACGCGAATGACTATCTCGTTTTTTTTTTGTTCGGAGTTCGGACCCTTTTTTCCCCTCCAAACGGAAAAATGAACATTCGCTGTGGTATGGATATAGCAAATAACACTCCGATAACCCAATCGAAAAATCTGGTCCTTAGCGAGAATACAACTCTTCCACTAGTCGATCCACTCGATTCGGTATTCGCGAAATGGAACTTGCACTCTTATCCTCGGCACCTCGTGATAAAAGGGGGAGCGCTGTACTTACAGCCGAGAGCTCCAGCGTTTTCTCACGCGGGACACGCCGGTCGCATTTTTTTCGGGCTCAAGGTTTTTTTATATGCGCGCGTGATACGGAGACTTTGCACAATCCAGACTTACTACGCACGGTGTGCTTTAGCGGGTAGAAAGGCAATTAATTTCAAATGGATTAATTTATGTGTAGTCGCGCCAACAAACGAGCAAAACCCACTCATCGCGCTCCCAGATATCTCACAAGTTTACGGACTACCGTTTCTATATATAGATACTTCCAAGCTACCCACGGGCAAAGTGTCCGACTCATCCGATCGCTTTCCAAGCCAATCAACACTCTGTCAATTCAACTGCCGATTTCTTTGTGTTTCTCATTCCCCTGAGGGTATATTCGACTCCTCGAACCACATCCTCGAGAGCTTACCTGCCGCGGTGTAGAGTAAAAATTCGCGATGGCCCCTAAATAGCCCGTGGAGTCGTATAATACGGACCCGCCCCCTTTACGCGTATATCTGCACCGTCTCGCCTCGGACCCGTCCTCCACCCCCCGCTAATGCTTTTTATGTCCTCCCGTATACCACGGCTGCTGGCTCCCCTGACGCCGCGAACCAAAGTGTTTTCCCGCAGGGCATTTTCCGAGCGGGCTGTAGATGCGCCCCGTGCACTCGGTGGGGGTGTGAGCGATTAATGCCTCTCTTCTACTCGCGTTTGAAAAAAACCATCTTACACGCCGCTGTTTAATAAATCCAAACTTACGAAACGACTTGCTCGTTTTAAGCGTGATTAAAATGCTCACGTGTATGTGTGTGCAACAATGTTGCCCCCCTTCGAGCATGAGCACTTTCCCCGTGACAAGCGAGTTCAACCTGAAGATATTATTCGTACTTGATGCCTCTATAACAGAGCAAGAAGTGCAATGAAGAGAAATAGACTTTTTTCAGCTTAGAATCTCGGTAAATAATGTAAATAATGTAAATAATGTATTGCGTGCGGGCGGTAACATGAGATTAGAATGGGATTGGAACAAATTGTTTGTCAAGAAGATTGGACGACTGATGCTTACGAATGTTATAAAAATAATTCTGGATACTCTAAACAAATAAAAGAGAAATGGTATTACGAATGTTACGGAGAAGTACGTGAAAAAGACTTCGCTGTAAAATCCAAATTGCCCGCCTACTAAGCCGCGAAAATTTAAACATCTGTGAGTACGTAAAAAACAAAAAAAATCGTGAAATACAAATCAAATTTGAATTGTTGGAAATGTTTTTATTTTCGGACGAGAGGCCTTTATTGCCGATAGAAAATGTATTTTTACCGATAATTGTCGATTCATAATTATATCTACAAACGTAATTTCTTACCAGACAGTATACTTAGTCATCACGAACGACTCCAAGGCCGTGAAAAACCCATAGATTCAAAATTTTCGGTTTTCAGAAAATCGCAAATCTTTAAACGCCTGTATCTCCGTAAATAATAGAGGAAGCGCAGAATAAGGCATTATTTAAGATCACTTGAAATCAAAACTTTTTTTTTTTTTTCACGATGGTGGGCCTTTGCTGTTGATTGATAATTATTTTTCAAAAACGTTATTACCTCTAATCAGTGTACTTAGACATTACGAACAACTCCAAGGCCGTGAGAAACCCTTGGATTAAAAATTTTCGGTTTTCAAAAAATCGCTAATCCTTAAACGCCTGTATCTTCACAAATAATAAAGATAGCGCAAAATAAGGCATTATTTAGGATCACTTAAAAACAAAAAAAAATTTTTCCATTTTTTATAATAGTAGGCCTTTGTTGTCGATTAATAACTATTTTTACAAACGTAATTACCTCTAGACAGTGTACTAAGACATTACGAACGACTCCAAGGCCGTGGAAAATCCTTAGATTCAAAATTTTCAGTTTTCAAAAAATCGCTGATCTTTAAGGGGGCTCCTTCACGAAAGTCCCCAAACAGAGATATATTATTTTTTGTAAATAAAAGTCTACTGAATTTAATGGTGGTCTAAATTATATTTCGAATGGGTCAAAATTTTGAGAAATCTGAGCTCAAAGTTGTAACTATTAGCACGTGTTCCTATGGGGCAGCGTGAAAAACAATTTGTTTTCGTTTATAATAAACCTAAATTAAATGTCCCAGCAGACTGAATATATACGTTTTGTAGATGAAGTCTTCCTCTGTAATATG